CTTCGAACGGCCACAATTCTGATCGCATCAGGCCAGGACGGCCACGTGTGACATCACATGCCGATGACAATCAAATTCGGCTACGTCATTTGCGTAATCGTTTTACGACCACGTCAACCAGTAACGCACTGTTTAGGGGTCAAGTAACTGCCCAGAACCCACGAAACCGATTGCGCTCTGTCCATCTTTTGGCCCGACGTCCTTATGTTGGTCAGATTCTGACACAGGTAAGCCGTAATGAATGTCTATGCTTGGCACTTTTGCATCTGCAGATGGCGAAATGTCCTGCAAAATGGATAATGACGTCATGGATTAGCCCATCGAACATGGGTGGGATGCTCTTGGAGGAACGTCAACACCGGAATGTTCATTCAAATGGGACAGCAATGGCGCAGGTGTTCAATGCTGTGCTAATAAATAACACGGGTGATCGGCAGTCAATGAGACAACACGGCATTGTTGTTGTGAAAGCAAGGTGGGCATACGCAGTACTGAACAAACTCAGATGGGACCACAGATGAGTGAGTTTAGTTTTACGCTGCACTCAGCAATATTCCAGCTATATGGCGGCGGTCTGTAAATAATCAAGCCTGGACAAGACAATCCAGGGATCAACAGCATGAACATCGATTCACGCAATCTGGATACGATGACATGTGTCAACCCAGTTATCGAGCCTGACCATCCGATCCCGTTATTCGCCTCTTGCGACAAGCATGGGTTACTGAAGATCATTTCTAACCCGGATCTTCACGGGTGAATACAGATTGATAGTCCCTGTGAAATAAAAAAAAAAGGGATCCCATCGAGCTGCTGTTTACTGTGGTGGGTGCACCAAGTGCACATTAATGGCGAATCCTGTTTTAGTTTGCCTCATTAACCAGATTCATCTACGATAAACACAATTTGTTTAACATAGGTACTTTTTATACGTAAAGTAACACATGTGAAGTTTCTTAATGTATAGCATATAATGAGAAACCCGGACATCGCTGTCATATGGAAAACACCCCACACAGCTGAATAATGAGTGAGTGAGTGAATGTAGTTTCAACATCCACAAAGGTAATATCAAAGAAGGACCATTGATGTTAATTCCTATTAAATTTGAATATCAACAAAAGAACCTGTTTCAGGAATCCATAGTAAATTGTGGTAAAGCTTTCAGGCAGAAGGGTTTAGTTTTACTCAGCTCTTAGCAATATTCCAGCAATATCAGGGCTGGGGACACCAGAAATTGGCTTCACACATTGTACACAAGCTGTATAATGAGATACTACTGCCATATGAAAAACACCCAACATCATACTATATGAAGGGAAACACCCCACATAGCTAAGTCTTATGAGAAACACCTGACATCATTGTCATATGATAAAAACCCACATTGCAGTCTTATAAAAAATATCCCACACTGTCATGTACAATGAGAATCACCCACCATTGCTGTCCTATAATGAGACATATCTCACATTAATGTGGTGCATTGAAAAATGGCTTAACCTGCTGTTGTATGATGGGAAACAATCATGGTATTCTTGCATGTCCAAGGAATGCAACTCTGTGGCCCTAAGCAGAATGACCAACACCCACAATATTGCTGGGTAGTGAGTACTTCCGCACAGGGCAGTTGTGTAGTGATACACACTGGCAGCCCAGTCACCTCAAAACAATGCTAAAAAGGCAACACAGATACATGAACCAACACAGTTTATTTACAAACATTCATTCATGTACACGGACAGTTACACATCATGGTAACAACACACACCAATGATGGGGAAAGAAATATAACAACATGCGTCGTAAGGCGTTAACAGTACACATAACAATATTTAATCAATACTAGGGTTGCAATAAAGAAACTTCAGTTTAAGCATAATGACACCAAATAGAACACTTTGCCAAACAAAACCTATGTACAATATCTGCACTTAAATATCAAAGTAAAAACATTGGTTTATTTATCATAAATGCATGTATTGTAAACAAGGAATTATGACTTGTGCATTCTCTCTAACACATTTACCCAAACCATTGCAGTGAGTTATTATGTATACAGCATCTGATCTCAAACTTGAAACACTTATCAAAATACAAATAAAGCAGTGTTGTGTTACCCTAAATAGTGCAGAAGTTTGACGTGCTTGTAAGCATGGAAGGCAATAACGCTTGTACAGGCTATACTTTATATCATGTAAATGTACTACCGGGTATGAAAAAGCTTCAGTAAAGGATGAGTTAATATGATGAATATGAAATATAAAAAAACCCAATGTCTTAAGTAAACATAGTAAATCATAATAAATAGGTTCATATTTCAATAATTCAATTTCAATAGAAATTAACAAGAATGACGTTTCTATGTTCAGTAAATGTCCATATATATGTACGAAATAAAGAGAGACAAGCTGTCAGTGTGTTGATAGGGCGTCTAGAACTATCCATCCATCACTAAGGCAGACTGGACTGTAACCATGGCAACAGTACACCTATCATCAGCAATTATCTTATTGTAAGGCGACAACAGACTACTTGTCACATAGTAATGCAACAATGAGATACCTGATCACAAGGTTGTGATCCTGTACTTGTCAAGAGTAACACAAATTCTGATAGTAAAGTGACAAAACATTAATCATCATAAATATAGTCATATACTGTTCCAATAATCAGTACAATCCTACTCATATTGATAAAAATACAGCAATCTGAGAAAAACTGGTGATAATAACACAATTTAGAACAGAATGTCACCCCATATATAACAAGTACATCCATATACTACCTGATCAAGTCACTGTAAAGTTTCACTCAGTCTGAACTTCAAGGTGTACTGCATTGATGAATACTTGTAAGTAGGTGGATGTCCAAGAAAAAAACCAAACAAGCTAAATCAGCAGATATTGTCAGCAATCTAACCTTCCTGTCATACCAAATGGTGTGATTAAAATTTGTTGTTGCCAATGTCATTGTGGGTAGGCATACCAAAAAAACTGCACTTTTATACACAGACCTCATAATTAATGACACATACTGTTTTCAGTTTAGGATTACTGTTCACCAGTGCCTCACTGAATAACTGAATTGTTTTCAGTTCAGTATTAGCTGGGTTCATCATCTTTGAAAAAACAACAAGAATATATTCTCATATGTCACTGATAATACACAAGCAAACAAGGAAACAGACCATTAGTGAAGCACTGATGAGACTAGTGAGCAGCAAGCCTTTACAACGTAGCATTAGGATAGTCTGAAAATACATTCACCAAACGAAACAAATGTTTTGTAGCAAGTCATGTTAGCCTGCATTTTCCAAGGCATTACATTACCATTCTGTAACAAAACATGTCTCTCATGACAGGCCTGTGCCTAATTAAAAAAACCTTTGAAGCACTATTAACTGTGCTAAAGAGTATTTAGGAAGACATCTCAATCAGTATCATGTCATTTAAATCTCGGTTATTGGGTGCAGGAACATAAAGAATTTAGATGAAGTACACTGGATAATCAAAGACACAAAAGCTCAATACTAGTATTACTTTACACTTGCTGAAGACAAGATGCTCGAAGGGCTTCATACTCCACTTCAGTGTGTCAAGTCAGTTCAAGACACAAAGCCTATCTGTCCAAGAACATACTGTGCAATCTGGATATGGTAGCTCTCTGCAATGAGCAAAGTGTTCAGCCCGGCTGATATTTCTGTATCTTGAAAACGAAGTTAAAGCAACCACTTGTGAATGCAGACTACAAAAGCCACTCTGTTCATACAGCATGTTGTTTCAACATCATAAAGGTAATATCAAAGAAGGACCATTGTGTTCTGTTGGAATTCCTATTAAATTTGTATATTAACCAATAGAACCTGTTTCAGGAAGCTAACATCTCACTGACTCAGGAATCCATAGTATAAGTGAGATTGTGTGGTAAAGCTTTCAGGCAGAGTGAGGGAGTTTAGTTTTAAGCCGCTTTTAGCAATATTCCAACAATATCACGGCTGGGGACACCAGAAATGGGCTTCACACATTGTACCCCTGTAGGGAATCGAAATTGGTTGTTCGGCGTGAAGATCGAATGCTTTAACCATTAGGCTACCCCACCGCCCCCTTTCATGCAGAGAGGTACTATGTAAGAAAGATCTGATTCTATTGAGTCTCACCCCCAATGCTCTTTCTTTAACCAATGTGGGATATTCTATGTATAGAGGCTGACTATGGAATAATTATGCTATATCAGCAGGGTAAGTTTATTGCAACCCATCACCCAGTCACCATGGTAATGCTCACAAATTTAAGATCTCAGAAGCTTTTAACAAGGTGGTTTAGAGATCACCATACACTCATCGACTTCTAAAATAACAAACACACAAGTAACCTCCAATGATACTCAAAATGCTCAATGAAAGGATACATAAATAATGATGACGCATACATATTTCTTTGATTATATCCCCTTGGCCACAGTCCGGTGTATTGGCACATATGTGCAGGTGGTGTTGTGGTACAGCATTTGAAACTAGCAGTCAGCACTGGATGGAGACGACCACAACAGTACCAATCATACCCAAGCAACTGTTTTGCTGTCAACTTTCTTACAATGCCACAAAGTGTAACTTTCATGAGGTAATTTTCTCCATTTTTCAGTCCGTTTGGTATCATTCATTGAAGGAGTACAACGTGAATATTGCTGGAAATGGGTTTGATTTATTAAAAAAATAATGGTAGTTTTGTTTACAAGACAATCATATTTGAAACATAGAGGCTGAAATAAATTATCGGAATAGTTAGTCCCTGCTTCATGGCAACAAGTGACTGCCCCCACAGATGCTTCCTGTATTCTTTCATGATAAGCTCCAGTACTTGTGACCATGTGGAGGATCAGTATGCTTGTATAAACCATGGGTACAGGAGCTATTGCCTGCATCCTGGACACATATCAAATAGATGAGGTTCAGTGCACAGTCAAAAAGAATTGATCACTTGAAACAAATTGGTTTTTTAGCTTTTCTTTCCAGTAGTTTATAAGAAAATCTAAAAGTGCTGAATTTCAGTTCTACAAGCAATCTTAGTGTTAACACGTGCTCTTGTGGGCTTTAACACAGGCTCTTTGATGTAGTTTCACACCACTTTTAAGAATATTCCAACAGTATCATGGTGGAGGACACCAGAAATGGGCCTCACACATTGTACTTTGGGTCTTTGGTGTGACGAGCAAATGCTTTAACTATATATGAAAAGATAGCCTGACCAATAGCCATAACATCTGTGGTCACACATGGCCTCCCTATGAATACTGCACATTACAATACTCTCTTGCCTGTCCTAGTTTCCTCACTCTATAATGTTCTTGAGATGGTATATCTGAACTGCAACTAAGTATGCCTCTAATACACAAATACATCCTTCTGAACAGCGGTACCAATGTCACTGGTTTCATCAAAAGTACAATACAGACTGGAAGTTTTGGAATTATCATTACACGCCAAAAATACATTTAACAACACAGACTGGCAGTGTTCAGGCTCCTTGCAGCTACAAAAATTACAGTTTGTTATTTAGTTGATACACACTACAATTTAATAAAACTCACTGTTGAGATGATGTATCATCGACCAAAACGTCTAGTTACCATTCTTACCAAATCAAAATAAAGTCAGTAAAATGGAATCCATTGGAGTTGAACTGACAGTGTGGGAATGATGGAATATACCAGGAACAGATGTGTTTATAAAATAGTAGCAGCAAATATCATGTGCTCCCTATATGTACATGTACCACAATGAATCGATTCAAATCCTCACTATCTGGCACTTGTAATTTTAGGAGTTATGTTGGGCAAGTCGTTACAGAGATGGTGTCACCGTAAGCCCCTGGGGAATGGCAATGTTAACAAGTGGCAATGTTTACAAGCGGCAACCATAACACTGGGGCTGATACTATTCACCATTAACTTCCAACAGTTCCATCTGCTGCACCACTACACCATCCTATACCTACATTCCCAGTAATTCTGTTTTAACAATTAGAAAGTTGACAAGCTATACGTGTCAAAATAGCACCTTCCCCTCTCTGTTGCAATCATCAATACATCCACACACTACACAAACATGTCAGACAATAAGAATGAACTGGTAGATAAGTTTTTAATGATGTACTACATACAACTGCTTCTAATATTTGTATACACATGCTGGCAAGCCATAAACAGGATACTATGTCGAAACCAAATACTTTCTTGTTTTGACAAATGATTCTTCTCAGTCCCTTTCCATTAGGACAAAAAGAATTGCTTACAGAAGGACATTTCAATCTCCTTTTAGATAGGAATTTAACTTTTATCTAAAAATATTCACTTGGGCCATTAATCAGCTATCTTTAAAACATGTACAATGGCCAAGAATGACAATGACATTTCAATGCCTTAAAATCACATTCAAATGTGATTATTTAGAACTTTAGAATAACTTTCCGTCTGACATTATTTTTCTTCTAATGCCTGGTAAAAAGAGAGGATATAATCGGTTCAGGCTAAATTAGTTAACACTGAGGATAACATATGAAGGACTAGAAAGGCAGCCATGTCTGTGGGCTTTAAGCACTGTTTATGTCATATGGCTCTAAGACAAGCCGACTGGTAATGTTACAAATGGCTACATGAAGCACACCTTGGTGGCAAAACAGCGGGCTTAAATTGAAACATTCATCTCCATTTTCACACAGATGCATACAGCACTCAATACCAGGAATCAACATCGGATATCTTTCGTTTGGTTACGTTATATTTAAGTGACAAGTGTGAGTAATCATGATAATGAGTTTATGAAAACTGGCAAATAACGCATGCTTTTTTTGACAGTCTTAGTTACATCATACTGTGTACACTCCATTGAACAAATGCCTAGACTTTATTTGGGTTTCTACCATTTCTTTTTATGTTCATCCATGCTAACCCCTCCAGGCCCGTATGCAACAACTAGCAACAAACCCCCTATGACAGATAATGTCTGGAAGAAATCATACTTGAGAAAGTCACGCATAGGCTTATAATCAGGAATGTTCCACCAGGCATTGAAATACAAATTAAGACCTGTCAGCCAAACAACTAGGACAAGGGCAGATAACTTTGTCTTGAATCCAATGGCTATGAGAACGATGAGTGCAGTGCCCACGAGGTTCTGGACGAGCAGCAGGAAGTCGACCTCGAAACGGAGCAGTGTAAGGAACATGAGAACGAGGAGAATTCGGCCGCTGAGCTGCATGTACTGTTTTGGGTTGTTCTCACCGAGAGACGGGAGGCCAGCAAACAAACTCCTGCCTTCAGTACGATCCTCAGCCAATAGCAGCAAGACGCCTCCAGCAAGGGCAAGGTTTCTGCAAACAATCAACCATTTCAATCATCACTGGAGTGATACGTTTCATTAAAAGAGACACTGATAACACTGGTCATGTAAGTAGGACTCAACGAGTTCAATGTCCTCTTGAATAGTATTTATGTTACATCACAGCTGTTGTCAGATTAATTAGCGAGAAAAGCCAGAAGCAGTGCTAACCATTATTATCATGATTATATATGCTTTGTTTGTTGTTCAACGCTGCACTCAGCAGTCTGGCAGTGTCATATCATCTAGCTGTGTCTGGCAAGCACAAGGAGGATCCTTACTTGTCAACAGTAAATTTTAGTAGTCTTGGGCTAGCAGACCTGCAAGAATTTGGAAGGTTGTGGCCAGGCACACTTTCTACCTTTACCACACGAACTAGCTTCACATACCTGAGCAGGAATCGGAGATCCCACAAAATACTGTAGGCTATCGTCTGAAATAGAAATAGAAAGCATGAAAGACGGGAACAATGCAGAAATGCAGAAATGCATTAATGTAGGGCACAGGAAACTGTTCATGGAAATTAAAAAACATTTGAATAGAACAGAAATCCTACTGTTACCAAACAACAAATTTGTCTGGTTAGTTATTACTTCAGACTTAACAACATAAGATATCTGCCATGCACAGAGCTGTCATTTGATAATACTTGAGCAGTGGTCAATTGTGCATGAGATTCCGACACCCTTGTCATCATGGTAATGATCTTAATAGTGACAGTTACATTAATGACAACATCAAGCCTTGATAACCCATCCAAAATAATTTGACAATATCTCGTACAGACAGAAACCCAATTACCCAATGTCAAAATCCTTTGTTTGTTGTTTAATGCCACATACAGCAATATTCCAGCTATATGACGGCGGTCTGTAAATAATGGGAGTCTGGGCCCCGTTTCACAAAGCTCTAGTAAGCCTAAGATCTCGTAACTTTCCTCGTAGCATTCGTACCTCCCATACTGTAACATAGGAGGTACGACACTACGAGAAAAGTTACGAGAACTTAGGCTTACGAGAGCTTCGTAAAACGGGGCCCTGGACCAGACAATCCAGTGGTCAACAGCATGAACATCTATCTACGCAATTGGGATACACGATGTCAAGTGTCAACCGAGTCGGCAAGCCTGACCACTCAATCCTGCTAGTCGCCTCTAACAACGAGCATGGGTTGCTGAAGACCAATTCTAACCCCTATCTTCACGGGTTGAAATCCCATGAGGTCTTTGAATGATGGCGGAGCAATATCACACCAGTATTATCAATTCTACTCTAACAGTATGATGCTTATTGCTTTGACAAAAACATATCTGGTACTCATCAGTTTTGGTAATGGACAGTACTGTACTCAGATGATTGAAAATTATCTGAAGCCCTGAATAATGGTAATGTTCAGTAGCAGTGATGCAGACTTCCATTAACCTGCTGGCTAGAGACAAACTGAGGACTAGTAGATTTTCAGGCTAAGTAGTTCAGATGAATCTGCATGCATGTCATCACTGTTCAGGTTTCAAATATTTGGGGTAATTTGTAGTGTTATATGGTCGAAAATGTTCTTAAAAAATGAAGATTTTTCACTTTTTGCAGGGTGTCTCTCACCTGTAGAGCAATGATAAAGAAGAGGAGGCCACAAGCGATGGGTACTTTTTGTCGACTGAGCACCATGACACATCCGACCAGTTGGCCAAGGAGGTTGATTAGCACAAACAGTGATGCCAAGAAATAGCCACAGCCCCATGACGCGTTCATATAGTCTCGCTGTTCTCCCCACTGGGAATACATTCGAAGCCCATCTTCAAGGAAAGTGCTGATGAGGCAGAATCGAGCTAAGTGAGGTAGCACATGCTTTGACTTTCTTAAAATCTGCAACAAAAAGTGAACTGTGTTTTAACAATATTTAAATCACACCAACATGATCAAAGTGGATCCCCCCAGGAAAGCATGCAATTACACACAAATTGGCACAGCAGGTCCTCTGGCCTTGAGTTTGACATTTTAGACATTCAAATCACCTTATGGTAAGGACATCAACACTGGTTTACCACCCGAGCCCCATTACACAAAGCGATCTCTTAGTCTTAATGAAGATGATCGTAAATCTTGCACTTTACCACAGGCATGAAAACGTTGCTTCTTCTAAGATCGCTTTGTGGAGCAGGGCCCAGACATTTAGAAGTAGGACTAACACATAACAATTTTTCTGGTCCTTGTAACAAAATTATAATTCATCAATGAATATGTGTTTGTTGTATGAACATAGGATAAATAGCATTATAGGTTGTAGATTACAAAGGGTTTTCGTTTCCTTATCACCATGTGAGAGTAAGCACACTCAACTACCTTCACAAGTGAGGATGTTTACACAGACGAGAACGAAAGAATATGATCTAATGACAGGGTATCGATTTAGTGCTTTGTTACTTGCACTGGTGCAACCCAATATTATAAAGTGCAACCTAGTTATTAGTCTAAATTGCACCAGGTGCAAGTCAATTTTTGAGTGGGTAAACTTCTGAATAAAACATCTAAATAATTCAATAGCACATTTCTTTCATTACACTTAGCAATAAAAGCAGTGCAACTGGATTTGGCTGGTGCAACTATGTTTTTATCTTAGGTTGCACCTTGTGCAAGTAGGTTAACATCTCTTAAATCGAGCCCTGAAGGAAAAAATAAATAAATTACTGACATAGAAAATACCCACATTTAAAAAAAGGGGGTGAATATCAGAACATTTGAGTACCCACTGAAGATCACTAGCACCCATTTATAACAGACACCATGGGTAAAATACTCAGATTGGACAAAAGCTTAACTAGAGCTCTGATCCAAACAACATGAAACTCACATGACTGATACTAGAAGTAGAACACTACAACTGATTGTTTGTAATTACTAATGTACCTGTGAATGGCATGTGAAAATCAATCATTGTGTAAATATTATCACAGTTTTCCCCTGTAACAGCTGTGTGATATATTACAACTATGACAGTCACTTCGCTTCCACATGAACTCTAGCCATAACAATTATGTTTTACCCGTTATTACACTATTAGCTGATTTTACCAGATCCAAAACAAATTTTAACAAGAAGACAAAGTCATCAATATCCCCCGCAATGGCAAAATACTCTTCATGATTATGTCTATGAGTTATGATTATGTCAAATATTTAGGTGTGTATATAGAAATATTTAGATGTGTATATAGAAAAGTGGAAGGAGAGTATTGAAAGGTTTTTAAAGTTCTGCTCCAGAAAGCAGCACTATCACCAATTTCAGTGAAACTTGTTGCCATGGAAATGCCAAAAATATTTTATTCGGAATTCCAAAACTACCAAAAGGCACCAGTACACCACCAGACCAATCTATGTGCCACGTTTGGTGAAGAAACATTGAACAGTTTTAGAGTTCTGCTCCGGAAAAGAGCACTACTACAATTTCAGGCTAAGTCAAACTTGTTGCCATGGAAACGCCAAAAATATTTTATTCAGAATTCCAAAACTACCAAAAGGCACCAGTACACCACCAGATCTATGTATGTGCCAAGTTTGGTGAAGAAATAGTGAACGGTTTTAGAGTTCTGCTCTGGAAAAGAGCACTACCACAATTTCAGGCTAAGTCAAACTTGTTGCCATGGAAACGTCAAAAATATTTTATTCAGAATTCCAAAACTACCAAAAGGCACCAGTACACCACCAGATCTATCTATGTGCCAAGTTTGGTGAAGAAATATTGAACGGTTTTAGAGTTCTGCTCCTGAAAAGAGCACTACCACCAAAATCAGTCTAAGTCGAACTTGTTGCCATGGAAACGCCAAAAATATTTTATTCAGAATTCCAAAACTACCAAAAGACACCAGTACACCACCAGATCTATCCATGTACCAAGTTTGGTGAAAAAATATTGAACGGTTTTAGAGTTCTGCTCCGGAAAAGAGCACTATTACAATTTCAGGCTAAGTCAAACTTGTTGCCATGGAAACGTCAAAAATATTTTATTCAGAATTCCAAAACTACCAAAAGGCACCAGTACACCACCAGATCTATCTATGTACCAAGTTTGGTGAAGAAATATTGAACGGTTTTAGAGTTCTGCTCCGGAAAAGAGCACTACCACTAATTTCAGTCTAAGTCAAACTTGTTGCCATGGAAACGCCAAAAATATTTTATTCAGAATTCCAAAACTACCAAAAGGCACCAGTACACCACCAGATCTATCTATGTGCCAAGTTTGGTGAAGAAATATTGAGCGGTTTTAGAGTTCTGCTCGAGGAAAAAGAGCACTACCACCAATTTCAGTCTAAGTCAAACTTGTTGCCATGGAAGCGCCAAAATATTTTATTCAGAATTCCAAAACTACCAAAGGCACCAGTACACCACCAGATCTATCTATGTGCCAAGTTTGGTGAAGAAATATTGAGCGGTTTTAGAGTTCTGCTCCGGAAAAGAGCACTACCACCAATTTCAGTCTAAGTCAAACTTGTTGCCATGGAAGCGCCAAAATATTTTATTCAGAATTCCAAAACTACCAAAAAGGCACCAGTACACCACCAGATCTATCCATGTACCAAGTTTGGTGAAGAAATATTGAGCGGTTTTAGAGTTCTGCTCGGAAAAGAGCACTACCACTAATTTCAGTCAAAGTCGAACTTGTTGCCATGGAAAGCGCCAAAAATATTTTATTCAGAATTCCAAAACTACCAAAAGGCACCAGTACACCACCAGATCTATCCATGTGCCAAGTTTGGTGAAGAAAATATTGAGCGGTTTTAGAGTTCTGCTCGAGGAAAAGAGCACTACCACAATTTCAGTCTAAGTCAAACTTGTTGCCATGGAAACGCCAAAATATTTTATTCAGAATTCCAAAACTACCAAAAGGCACCAGTACACCACCAGATCTATCTATGTGCCAAGTTTGGTGAAGAAATATTGAACGGTTTTAGAGTTCTGCTCCGGAAAAGAGCACTACCACAATTTCAGGCTAAGTCAAACTTGTTGCCATGGAAACGTCAAAAATATTTTATTCAGAATTCCAAAACTACCAAAAGGCACCAGTACACCACCAGATCTACCTATGTGCCAAGTTTGGTGAAGAAATATTGAACGGTTTTAGAGTTCTGCTCCTGAAAAGAGCACTACCACCAAAATCAGTCTAAGTCGAACTTGTTGCCATGGAAACGCCAAAAATATTTTATTCAGAATTCCAAAACTACCAAAAGGCACCAGTACACCACCAGATCTATCCATGTACCAAGTTTGGTGAAAAAATATTGAACGGTTTTAGAGTTCTGCTCCGGAAAAGAGCACTATAAATTAAGTTACTTGTTGGTCCCTGCCTGGCACTCGGCATTAATGGGTACAACAAAGACAGGTCGGCTCAGAGTCAGTATAATGTGTCTGAGTGGGGTATTCATGCTTCACTGTGGCATGGTATCTCAGTGGGCTAGCACTATAAAACCAGCTTAAGTCTGGGCTAGTACAAGCAGCCGCACATACACATACACACGCATGCACGTCGTCATATGAGCGAAATATTCTCAAGCACGGCGTTAAACCCAATTTCACCTCACCTATAAATTAAGTAAGAATAAGATTACCGTGTGTATTTGAGCCGGAAATGGCAATAAGCTGTGCACACGTTTCCCAGCGAGCAAGTTCAAACTAGTGGTGATCCGATAAATTGAAATAATCGAAGATTGGTTGCAGTGACTAAACGACCAAGCAATCGATCATGTTTTCTCATAATCTAACACAAACAATTCTGAAACACTTGTTTTCATCAACAATATTTTTCACAAGGTTGGTTTTGTCTGTTACATTTCATAAGCACTATAAGCTCGTTCCAAGTCTTGATTGAATTTATCTTAAAGACACCAAGAAATTTATGTCCCTAACATACTAGTCATCCTTTAAAGATGTGAAATTTTGCCAAAACCCCCCAAAATAACTACGTTTGTTTCCTTATTTTTTTTTGTGCATTAACAAATTTCATAAATGACGCTAACCAATTATTTTCGATGATTGATTGGTGGTAATGAACCAATCATCAATTATGAGATTTTAAACAATTCCCCAACACTAGTTCAAACATGCACAATAATATAACGGGATGAAATCTGACGCAGTCATCAGTAAAATATAATACAGAGTACTATTATTTAACCCAAAGAAATATATCCTAGCACTGTTTAATTTTAATTACAGTTTTTGCACTATAAATGTAAAATATATAATCAACACTAAGGTTATACGGACACTCATGAACGTGTTAAGTTGTACGCACATGGAATGGGGTAAACTAAGCAAGCCATTTAAATTCACACATTTTTACTGATGTTACTGTAAACTAGCAGTCCATGGAAAACAAGGCGGTAAGAAGCAAGCCAGTTTGTTGACATGTTATCGTCTAACTACAATATGTATGATATTTAGCGAAACAAAATATATTATCCATTTTCTGTCAACTACACTTCATTTCGATGCGTGAGTAGACACAATATGATTGTGAATTATTTTAATAATGTGGACCAAAGTTATAATTATTGGTAACTGCCAGTTGTCTGTGTTTGCCGCGATTAGGACCCCATCGCGGGGGATCGACTTATGCACGAAACATACCATTTTGACACTGATTTTAAGGGTCAAGTTTGGGTGTCGGCTTATCTATCTGGGGTCGGCTTATAGACGGTACTGCAGCACAGTATACTGTGATAAATACCGTGGTAGTACTGGTACTTGACCAAAAACCTATGTATATCGTGGTACCCAACCCTAATGTGTTGAAATGAATACGTACAACCATGAACTTCAGTATACAACAATTATGTGTTTGCAGTATTTTTGCAACAATGAAGTTCACTTAATGTACTTGAAACAGCGATGACTCTTACCTTTTCAGGCAAATACAAAAATTACTACTCCCTCTTGTCACATATGTTTTATCATGAGCCCAGTTGAGAGGCGCAACTTAGGTTCTGATATTCCGAAAGCTTTGCATGATTTTAAATATTATATACACAGTAAAAAAAGTGTTGCACCCCCATATTAAAACTCTGGTTACGTTGGCATATCCAAAACACCCGAATAGGTTGTTGATGATAACCATTCTGCAAGGATTTGGTGTTGAAGTCATTAATGTTTTCGTAGTGAAAACGATCTCTAAAACGTAGCAACCTGCACGTGAATATCATTCTTCATGATTTTTGCAAATTGCAGTATGCTCATGTGATGAATCTCGCCTATAAAAATTGTTGTTCTGGCCGTTGAATCCATTGTAACGCAGCATGCCGGGTGCGAGAATAGCAGATGCAGTCAAGTGGCAGATTATTGGACTCCATAGGGCAGGTCTGTCCTTCAAGGAGATTGGCAGAAGAACCGGGCGTCATTACTCCACAATAAGCCGCCTGGTGATAAAACATGAGAAGACTAATGATGTAAAGAATCGCAGACCTTCAGGCAGACCACGTATAACCACAGTCAGGGATGACAGAGCATTGCTAAGGCTGGTAAGGCGACAACCCTTTGCTTCAAGTGCAACCCTGAAACGCCAATGGCTTCCTCATTGTCAGATCAGCCACCAAACAGTGAGAAATCGACTCAAGGCCGCTGGATTGAGGTTCAGAAGAGTCATCAAGCGGCCCCAACTCACAGAGAACCACAAGAGGTTACGTCTAGCCTGGTGTAGACAGAGGCAAGGGTGGAACTTGAGGTCTTGGAGAAGAGTCCACTGGTCAGACGAGAGCAGATTTCTTGTGCATGTTGTGGATGGCAGAGTCAGAGTTTGGAGGTGTCTGGGTACAGCTTATGCACCTAGGCACATCATGCCGACGATACCATATGGAGGTGGATTGGTTATGGTATGGGGTTGCTTCTCATTTGACTGTAAGCTGGATCTAGTGACCATACAAGGCACTTTAACAGGCGATCGCTACATTCAGGAAGTGCTTGATCCAGTTGTTGTGCCCCATTTTGACAATCATCGACTTGCAACCATGCCAATATTCATGGATGATTATGCTCGGCCACATCGTTCACGAGCTGTGACCCAGGTCATCCAGAACAATGCACTGACTCACCTCCCATGGCCAGCAATGAGTCCAGATCTCAATCCCCTGGAACACATATGGGACATTTTGGGCCGTCTGATACAAGGCAGGGATCCTCCTCCACAGAATGTGTGGGAACTGGTAGCAGCATTGCACGAAGAGTGACAGCAGCTGCCCATAGAGCGATTTCGACGTCTGGTGAGGGGTATGAGACGACGACTGGAAGCTGTTATCCAAGTACTGGGCGGAAGTTCACGATATTGACTGTTTGTGTTTGTCCACTCTCTGTATGTCAGTTTCAGCCTAAGAGAAGTTTTGTTTCGACATTAAATTTCCATTTTTTACCATACTTAAAACCGTCTCGTTTTCCTTGAATTTGAACGCAATACTTAAGGGCAAGATCCTTACATACCATGAGGTCAGGGGATGCCCCATTTCAGTTCATTTTATAGGCACAAGACTGGTTTGTTGGTGTATGCACCATCCAGGTTCTAATTCTCATTCTGTTATCGCTCAGTTACGCCAAAAACATCATACCCCGGAAAAAAGATAGGGGGTGCAACACTTTTTTTACTGTGTATAGTTTTGTAAAGAAATGTGACATCACCAGGTTTCTTTGTACAGCTTTAGATGTATGGGATATTGTTCCTATGAGTGTATATTGACAGATATATTCATTGAACATGATATCATGTTCATAACTTTAGTTGTTGTAATAATGATATTGTGCCTTTTGTTTTCATTCATTTGCTGCAACAGGAATGCATGAGACATGGTTACTGATCAAACTGTTCCATACGTAAAAATAATCCGCCAATGGCAAATATGTATTTGAATAAGTTTTTATGAAATTTATCTAGTAAAAGATGCCAATAAAATAATTCCATATTGGCATAAATAATTTGTGATAAAATAACACTTTCATTCATTCATTGTACCAAAGCTCAAAGTATATTACTGGACATTTATTAACTGAATCATAGGTAGATTTGTGAAATATGTGTGTAATTTTGCAAAGCTGATCGCTGATTTCCTGCTTAGTATAGGATAGCAGTAAGCTGTACATCTGCATATAAAACTATGCCTAGCAGAAAGGAAAATACAATTCAACTGGTTAATCATCATGTTTAATGATAATTTATCTCAGATTTCACATTTTATTGACAAAGTTGGTTATAATCTGTTTGTTTACCTGATGTCTGACTCTGAAGGAATACTGTATACCTTTTTTACTGTGCAGAATACTGGTGTTCACTGTAGCTTTATGCTTTAAGTATTGCATGCAATAATAAACAATTAATAAATACGACAGTTTGACTGCACCTCTTTATTTTGATACAGTTTCTCATTCTTCGATTCCCCTGATAGGTATCGCTTCACTCAAAAGCAGTCCATATTAAGAAAAGTGTTGAACCTAAAGTAAAACCTGTCAAAATTACAGTCCATATTAAGCAAATGCAAGCGTATATTGAAAACTAAGGTGGCAATCCACATCTAAATATAGACTATAGTTTTTCACAGTTGTAGAAGCGATTTTATTGGATAAAGATTGGTTTCTAATGGCGGCTTTTAAGCCACAGTCTGCTATAAGGGTCGTAATTGGTCAAAATCTGACACATGACCTAAAGCAGCCAATCATATTACGACAATGGATTCCGTCCTCGTGAAACAAAACTTTTAGATTTAGACAGAAGTTTTGGGTAAAATAATGCTATTCTGAACATATTAAGAAGAAATCGCTACCTATCGTAAATTATGGAACTTTTTTGATATCGTGCTAGGTTATGACCTGTGACAAAAATGCTTCATGTATATATTTTCGCATTAAACATCGTGTCCGGGCGTGAAGATTGAGGCGGCGAGAGCCGAGATGTCAGTTGTCAGTGACTTGACTTACATTACATGATCGTACAAAAACATGGAAAATAGTAATTTTATATGTACAACTTTTATGAATGTTGTTGATTTTAATCATTAGTTTATTCAATTTATTTCATGAATTCCTCGAAACATCGTTACTTTGCTCTTTGACAATGTTATTGTGGACCCGCTGCCCGAAGTATGTGTCCGAGAATCTTTGTTTTCAACTCGTGAAATGCAGGTTGAAATTCACCACAGGTATATAAACACTAATTATTTGCACATTTCATAGTCATTTAGATAGCGAATGACATTCTGAACACATTTATCGAATTTAGTTGGACCGCTTTCATTTTCTGATTGTGACAAAATACGAGACGAACGGCTATATATGCCAAATCGCGAATACTTTTGTCAGTACGCTGTAGGTCTAATGAGCATTCTCGAAAAACAAGCAACTCGTACGGCAGACTTTTCAACACATTTATTTACAGTATATCGTTGCGATTACTGATTAATTTGTCTCTCCGGATAAAAACTAGTTCAGCCGGAATTTTCAGACCCCGTCGGCATAAGCCGCCGGTAATTTTCAAAACCACCGGGAACACTGAAATGTGTATTTTTTTTCCATGAAGAAACACTGGTCCATATTTCAAAGCTTTCAATGTTAGATTTTAATTTCCCTTTAAAGCCAAAAGACATATAAAATGAACAGAATGTCTTTGAAATTGAAGTGTCAATTGTTCGACAAGTGTTTGTTATATCTGACAGGTTGGTAACACTATAAAGTTCAGACAATCTATGAGTAATAACTGAATTAATGTACAAACATTAACCACATAAAAGGTAAAGCCATGAAATACCTCGCTTAAAAAACTGAAAAAAAATCAAAATATGGCTGTTTAAATATAAATATTGTTTACGCAATTAATAAGCACTTGTTTTCTGTTTAATAATGTTAAATAGTCAATATGTGTAAGAAAAAGGGACCCTCCCATGAAAAGGTGATGAAAATAGGACAGTTATTTTTCAACACACAAGCTTGCTGCTAAAACTATCAGCGTAAAACACAATTATTTCACTGATCATGAAGTACCAGCTGTGAATATTCACTCAATTAAATGTAAACCTTAAAGGATGACGTGTAACCGACCTAATGCGTATTTGTATAGCGTACCTTCATACCATACGCACAACACCAACAGCACAATGTACTACGAAATCTATACGAAAATATCAGACATTAAAAAAAAAGAAGCAAAACAATTCCATCAGCTGAGAAGCATGTTGACACTGACAGGTAACCCTATTATGATCTGAATCTAAGTTTGAGCCAGCTTCAAACATGCCTGATATGTTAAGCAATTATTGGCGACTTTAGTCGCATCAATACTTTGACAAACCGGAACAGTACCTGGTCGGCAACATCTTCTGCTTTATCCATCAATTCGCTTTGCTGCGGCATCTTGGTTAAGGTTATCGCCGTGTTTGTCGGCAGCTTTAGCCACGTAAAAGTCGTCAGCCACACTGACCGGAAGTAGAGGACGCGCTAGTTGAGATGATTGCACCGGTTGTTTAACCTCCCTACGAAAACTGAATGTGATCGTTTTCTAAATCGCAAGGGGGATCTGTTGTGCAAAGAGACTCCACAGATATCTCATTTTGTTTATGAACACTGGATAGCAAGAGGAAGACAAATGCAAATAACCGCCTTTCATCAAGGCATATCATCTGAATAATAAATGACGGGGAGTAAAACTAATAAACGGCACCGCTGCCACGTCCGCAATCACGTCGGAAGAGCCAAGTTCGAGAGTTTTCGTTAACTTACGGGAATTTACGGAAGCTCTCATCACAAATATGGCAGCCCCCTTAGATCTCAATGTTGCAAGGAAAAATTTATCAGACGCACTCGGAGATTCAATGAAATTGTACGTGTGGAATGATGTTTTGGATATCAAAGAGACTATGCACTCTACGAGCGATTTGCGAATGTGTAGATATTGTTAACAGAGAAAATATTGTTATAATACGTTAAGCGATGTCTGTAAGTAAGATAGCCGGAACCTTGTCATTTTATGTTTAGCTTCTCTATGTTTATATATAGTTACATTATCTGGTCGTGGAACACATGTAGAGATTATTCAAAAAGGAAGTAGGTACAGTTCACATGGTTAATGTCATGATGACATTGGTTATGATCACTGGTTATGACGGGTGCTATTGTTGTATCATTTTGTTGTTGTTTAAGGCCGCACTCGGTGAATATCCCAGGTATTTGGTGGTCTGTATATGTTGGCCACCGGCATATAGCTGGAATATTGCTGATTGCGGCGTAAAACTCAACTCGCTCACTCACTGTAAATGTTGGAGTATGGACAGGACAATTGGGAAACGAAGACATGTGTCAACCAAGTCAGCGAGCCTGACCACGTTGGTTACCTCTTACGACAAGCATGGTTGCTGAATATCAATTCTAACCTGAGCCTTGTTGAATCTAGTTCCCAAACATTTTTATTGATGTAGTTCAGGTGTCATATCTTACCTGCTTATCAAGCAGCATGGATTAAATTGGGTCCATTAAATTTTATGTCGTCAGTACACAGATAAATATAATTAGGGGAAAAAGTCAGTGTTGTGGTAGGTCGGAGGTGGATGCACTAATCAGTATACTTATGGCTTAAAATCATAACCCTCGCCTAGTGCATATAATTTCTTATTTTTTTATCAGCCTCCCTAATAAAGCAAAATTGGAAATAGACTTTATATTTTATCATATTATGCACATCTTTTCATGTTCCTCAAGAAATATATACAGATTTCATGACCCATAAAATATATGTTATATTCAGTGTTGTCTTCGTAATTTGTTTTGCAGAAGAAGAGTTATAAACATCTTTATGATTATTCCTAATCTAAACATGCTAAATGAAACTTGTCTAAATTGTGTTTCCAAAATCAAAGATTCAATATTTATGACCAGCACTCTACTCTGATCATGCATACAGAACAACAGATCAGTCATCAGTACTAACTGATCATCATGGTCAGTGTTGTCAGGAACCACAGCATACAAACAACAATTTTATACATTGTAACCCCCCAATCCTCATTAGGCCCTTCTCCGTGTGTCACGCTGAAGACCTGGGTTCGGTTCCCTACATGGGTACAATGTGTGAAGCCCATTTCTGGTGTCCCCTGCTGTGATATTGCTGGAATATTGCTAAAAGCGGTGTAAAACCTAAAGTCAGTCAGGCTATACACTCAGTCAGGCTCACTCACTCACTCTCATCACATACTGCCTTACACCTCCTTTACTTGTGAATCATGTATAATATTTGACATATACTACCCATCAAAAGTTTAGACTCACTTAAAGCACTCACTATATGTTATGTATATATATATGGTTACATAAGAGTTAAATTTCTCCACTAACTTGGGGGAACCAACTGCAAAACTGCAGATGAATTGCAAGAGGATCATGCATCAAATTTTTGAAAAGCATGTGCAAATATCGTGCATGTGAACAGCTGTGTTTGGTGTAAAGGTTTGTTAAGAATTTGCCAATTTTCACTGAGTTTCATCATTTACTAGTATTGAACTCATGACTATGATCTTTTCAACGTTATGAATTTGATTTACAATACATCAGTTCATGTGTAAACAGTACCATTAAACAGTAAGGATTAGTTTGCAAATCTAGGTTAGAACAGCTGACTGAAGTGACTGGCTACATTTACACTAGTGAGTCTAAACTTTTGATGGGTAGTATAGACTAAATATTCAGGAATACTAGTAACGTATATTGCAATATTCAACATTATGATGAAGTAGGAAGATGATCAGTTCTTATAGGTATCTTTATGCTGGCAACGTTAAGAGATATCCTGCAGGTTGTCACACGCCCCAGTGCTTGATGGCAGGTGTTCTAAATAATGAAGCTGTTGTCATGATCTGTCAACCCAAACTGCAATATGTCACTTATGTCAAGCTTGCATCGTTGTTTGAATTACTTAGATAATAGGTTGTTCACTATCATGGAGCAGACATTAAAGTATCCATTGGTGGCTGTTACACTGAATATATTTGGTTTACTAAAATTAGTATCACATTGTTAATTGTCAATTTTTGTAGTGTTTATTTTAACTGTGGATATCTTGTATGAGACGGCCAAAGGATATAGGGAATATACAAGCATTTAATCAGATAAATTAGTTCACAGCAGCTGTTGTGCTAAGTTCACAGCAGCTAGTGGGGTTAATGTTTTAGTTTTTGTCAAACCAAAGACCTGGAATTGTTTCCCATATGAGCAGCATGTAACTGTACATGTACGTTTATAGAAACTGTGAATGTGTAGTTGAAAGAAATTTTATATTCATTTGGCTTTCATTTGGATGCTTATGGCTGAATATTGTAGTAATGTGGCCTTAGTGCATTTAGCTACTTTCATACTTGTATACATTAAAATAATCCAAGAAAACAATCGGATAACTCACAATTTTTCTGGTCAGAGTTGCATCATGTGGTATACCAGAAAACTATAATTGTGGGTTTGTATCCCAGTCTGGGCTAATTATGTATTTAGGTTTGTTGGCACCATACCTATGCCCTGGGGACATTGCTTATCTTCAATAACAGGAGTTAAATTGTCTAGAAATTACAAGCTTCCAAGGATTCATGCATGTCATGTCCTAAACAATATGGTTGGGTAGCCTGGTGGTAGAAGCGTCATTCTGATTGTCTGGGTTCGATTCTGGTGTCCTGTGCCATAATATTGCTGGAATATAATGAAAGTGACTTATAACCCAACTCACTCTGCAGTCTAAGTAAACTTAGGCTCAGTATTATTCGTTACACTGCTATACTGAGTCTAACAAACCCGAGTAGAAGGTCGTGTCAGCTAACCTTTGAGCAACCTATGACCGTCAGATCATGGGAGACAGTCGAACAGATTTAACTAATCAGACGACTACTTGTTAGGGTTCAGCGGGACTTACAAAATGGATTTTGGATTTTTCTCTTCCTTGGTCGCTGACACTGATCTATCAACAAACGAAAATCTGCATAAAACACAGATTTTTGACCTGCAGTATATATGCTTAGGGGTTTCTTATGACATGGTTACTATTTGCTTATATTTCGCAAGATGACATCCTTGAATATTGACAAAAACGCTATGTTCAGCGACTGTTTACTCATTGTGTCCTCCATGTGTATCACTCGGAAGCAATCGTGCGGAAAATAACATTTGAAATCTTTCGAGTTTTTGAGGTAAAGGTTCAAACGGTATGTGCGAATGTCAACTTTCGAGATTTGGTAAGCTGTGTTCTGATTGGTCAGTCCAAAAGGGTTTGTTAGACTCAGTATAGCAGTATAATGAATAGTGGTGGTCCGATTAATTGAAATAATCGAAGATTGGTTGCACTGACAAAACGACCAAGCAATCGATCACATTTTCTCATATTCAAATGCAAACAATTTTGGAACTACTGTTTTAGTCTTTGAAATCTTCGAAGTTGTAAGGGCCTGAAAACATGTTTAATTCTTAGAAAAATCACTTCACTAACTGAAAAGTCATGACCAAATATTTCTTGAATACTCTGGGATGTTTGTGTTCATGATATATTAGTCATCACTTTAAAGTAGCAAGTTGCATTATGTAATACTTATCTGCAATGACAACCTGAATAGGAAACTCTGAGAAATGACGCTAACCAATTTTTTTTCGATGATTTCTCATTGGTAATGAAGCAATCATCAATTGTGAGATTTCAACCAATTCCCAACACTAGTAACGAATAAGTTTACTTAGACTGACTCACTCTATAGCTTCCTACAGGATGAAATAATGTTCATTCTTCACTATTAATGGACATATGATGACATCTACAGCCACAGGCTCCCTTGTACAATACAGACGATGTAGCCTGAAGGGGAGATCATTCACTGTGAATTAGGAGGAAGTTAATCCAGGGCAATATTTATGACAATATTTATGGGCAGCTGACATACAACGACAAGACTGATTCCACTGGCATGTCATGTATTTTCTTGATAAAAGAAAACATATGTTGATAATGATGATAAAGGAAATAAAAAGTTATGAAAAGAAATCAATAGTAGTCTACAGAAATATTCTGAAAGATCTTTATTTGCTGTAAGATTGAATTATTATTTGACTGCCATCTGGACAGGTAATTTCAGAGCTCTGTGCATTGTTACCTTATGGACTGGTAATATCTGTTCATTTATTAGGGAGTTGTCATAATGGGAGGTGTCATTAGACACAGTGAAAGAGTGGGTTTTGCCAAAATAAATAACAATGAATTTGCTGATGCAGGAGAAAATTCACAGTTTTTTGTTTTAATATAGAAATTATATATTTGAACTTCATTTGATGTAATTGATGTAATGGCAGCTTGGGTTATCCGGGGTAATAATGTGCTGTGCCTTGATTGTTAGTGCTATGAGCATACCTAGAGTGGAGTTTGGCTATATAAATGACACATTATTATTATTATTGATTGTTCTTTTAGGGATAGGGAACCGAATAGGAAATGGGAAAGACCAATCTCCCTTAGTATGTTTTTTCCGAGGCTCTTTGCTGGTCTGTAGCAAATGCCAGATAAGAATCCTCCAATAAAATATTAGAGATTTCCTAATTTGTAAACTTTAAATTTAACTTAATTTACTGCAATTATGAAGGCTTAAATGCTTAGTTTTACTTATCACATTTTCAAAACACCTTTTGTTCTAGAAAGTTCCAAATTTGTACACATTTTATTTATCATTAGCCTGCCACTCATAAACACTCATAATCATGGTTGTTTACATTCTCACATGCTATTGGATATCATCCTGTGGTATCAGTATTTAGTTAGTGACAGTTGTATATCAGGTGTGTGTGAAATCCAGCCACATCTGTTTACACTGCCTTATCTTACAATTGTCTATGAAGTTGTCAGTGGACATGTAAATACTTCAGATTTCAATACACCACTGATAGATCGGTTTAATACTTGTATGAACTTAGCATGAATTTAATATGTCCTCTAGATTTTAGCTTTTAGCCTGTTATGACAAGTAGATGTAGTGCTTATGAAATGAAACTGACAAAACCAACCTTGTGAAAAATATTGTTATTGCAAACAAGTGTTCCAAAATTGTTTGTGTTCGATTATGAGAAAACATGATCGATTGCTTGGTCGTTTTGTCATTGTGACCAATCTTCAATTATTTCAATTAATCGGACCACCACTAGTAGAAACTGCTCAATTATATTTTACATCACATTTTTCTCAGGACATCAAGCATGTCTAGGGACCGTAATTTATGGCTAGGGGTGGTGGTGATGATTTTTATGGAGAAGCATGTACAATGTGCATGACCCCCCCCTCTAAAATTTATGTACAAAATAAGTGACCCCCCTTGCATGTCATGTACAAAATCAATGACCCTCCTCCCCTTCCCATAATTTCTGAGCATAATTTTAAACATAATTTTATGTACAAAATTGCTGAACCCCCTAATACGTGTGTACAAAATTGCTGACCCCGCCTAGCTCCCCAGAACAAAATCATCATCATCACCCCCCACCCCCAAGCCATAAATTATGAACGGTCCCCTAGCTAACAATTGTTTTGCCGCCAATTTTTATTTGTAGAAGATATAGTTACATTGTTTGGAACATGAAATGGTTGTTTGTATTGGACAAGTGACCATTCATACTGATTGTTGTTTCTCTTTGAACAATAACTTGTGTAATTCATTCCTTTTCCATCTTCATATTCATGGAATTTATTATTTGTATTTCCAAGGTATTTACACAATTTGAAGTCCTGGTTTAAACAGAAGGTAAGCATGTCAGTTATAACTGTTTTTCAGATGACAAAAATGTTCAGGATAATAACTGGAACCACTGTTATTAAGAACATTTATCAAAATTTTCTTAATCAAGTAGCAACTTTAGTCATTGTACTTTACAAAAACAAACTTGAGTTTGGCTCCATGTATGCGAACAGCAACAATGTTCCTTCGTTAGTGTCATTTAGACCCAGGACCGCCTCCGTGGTGTAGTGGTTAGAGCGTCCGCCCGGAGAGCGGAAGGTCGTGGGTTCGATCCCCGACCGCGTCATACCAAAAGACGTTAAAATATGGTACTTGTTGGTCCCTGCCTGGCGCTCGGCATTAATGGGTACAACAAGGACTGGTCGGCTCGGAGTTGGTATAATGTGTCTGAGTGGGGTATTCATGCTTCACTGCGGCATGGTATCTCCGTGGGCTAGCACTATAAAACCAGCTTCCGTCTGGGCTAGTACAAGCAGCCACACATACACATACACACGCATGCACGTCGTCATATGAGCGAAATATTCTCGAGCACGCCATAAAACCCAATTTCGCCTCACCCATTTAGACCCGGATCACATTTGCCACGGGCTATGACGCTTGTGTTCACGTTGTCTATGGGCATCATGCATTTGGGAACAGGTATGGAGGCTGCACAGAAAACGTATGGGTTTTATATGGAGGCCGCATTGTGGTCGTGCGGTAGCCATGCAATGGCCGTGCGGATATCCTATGATCCTATGATCCTTTAGTTCCAAAAGATCATTTGTTTAGTGTACGATCACCATGCTGCCAGCATGCAGTGCCCATGCAGTACCCGTGCGATGCCATCTATGGGCTGCGGGCTTATGATTTTTAAAACTTTATTCAACTGTTTGACAAAAATCGTGAAGGCACCCGTAGTATTGTGTCATCATATGGCCACTGCCAGCCACTCAAACCCACAAAGATCCGTGTTAGAGCTGATCTTTAGTAACCCATGTTTGCTGTAAGAGGCGACTAACAGGATTGGAAGGTAAGGCTCGCTGACTTGGTTGACACATGTCATTGTATCACAATTGCGTAGATCAATGCTCAAGCTGTCGATCACTGGATTGTCTGGTCCAGACTTAATTTTTTACCGCTGCCATATAGCTGGAATATTGCTAAGTGTGGCATAAAACTAAACTCACTGACTCACTTTTAGACTTCACTATATGTTGGGGAAAGGTCTCAAGAACATTGGTATTACGTGACTTTTGCTAAAAGCTGTATAAAGCCTAATTATCTTTTAGTCTCTTTGTGTGTTATTGGGAAGATGTACTCCCGAAAACTCAGTAAAGAGGCCCCACTTCTCTCTATCCTTTGTACTACTACTTACCCACATGTAGGAGAGCAAGTAAGTGGGGTAGTAGTTGTACCATGGCTGTAAAATGAATGTATTTGATTGTGTATGGTCATAACCTGATTGTTGTATTTTGTTTGCCAGATCAGTAAGGAGGATTTTGACCTGGAAGCAAGGAATTTGTTGAGAGAAGATGCAGGTGAGCATTGAAAGCTTGGTTGAAATCTTATTGATGGGAATGTTTGAGATTTTTTGACTGCTTCTGATGGAATAGATTTTGCACCCAGATTCTTCACTTTAGTGTCAGGCCTACCAAAGAAAACTTTGCCACTGTGCAGAAAAACGCAGAAAAGCCCACATTAATCGTGGAAATAGCAACATAAACATATTACCTTGCTACTGAAACAGTAAAAATGGCAACTTTAAATCGCTAAAACTGCTTAAAAAAATGAAGAGCCTGCAACTTTGATTTTGAGCATGGAAGAGGAAGTCTCGACCGCATGTTGACATTTCCAGCTTGGACAAAAGTTACATTGATCTTCAGTAACCCATGCTTGTTGTAAGAGGCGACTAACGGGATCGGGTGGTCAGGCTCGCTGCCTTTGTTGCCTCAAGGCATTGTATCCCAGCTGCATAGATAGATGCTCATGCTGTTGATCACTGGCTTGCCTGGTCCAGACTCAATTATTTACAGACCGCTGCCATATAGCTGGAATATTGCTGAGTGCAGCGTTGTGCAACAATCATTGAGCATCCTCCTGTCTGTTGCAGTGCACCTACACAATGAGTTCCTCCTGGCCATCATCGCCCGCTGCCAAGTCAGCAGTGCCACCGCAGGTAAGGGGACATAACTCTTCCAATATTATATTCAGCCAAAAACTAATTATTAATGCCTCCCGAATCCTTGTTTTATCTGAACAAATGTTGAAACATTCTTAGTTACTCTAATTTTACACCAGTGAAGGTCCGGGTTAGAATATTGATCTTCAGTAACCCATGCTTGTCGTTAGAGGCGACTAACGGGATTGGGTGGTCAGGCTTGCTGACTTGGTTGACACATGTCATCCGTTCCCAATTGTGCAGATCGATACTGATGCTGTTGATCCCTGGATTGTCTGGTCCAGACTTGATTATTTACAGACTGCCACCATATAGCTGAAATATTGCTGTGTGCTGCGTAAAACTAAACTCACTCACTCTAATTTTACAATGTTGCATTCCACAAAGAGCCTCAGTGACTGAGTGGGTTACTGTAAACGTATTATATATCGCGCAGGTTTTATTTTTGTGCTTTTCGCGCAAACTATTTTATCGCGAAAATTTATACACAGCGAATAAACCCACGCTCGCTTCTGAGTTGTTACCATAACACATCAAGTTTGAAGACAGAAATTTACGGGAATCTTAATATGACGACTGATAGTAACATAAAGAATCATACTTAACTGTGGCTGTAATGGACTTCCAAATCATGTCCCCACATGTTCTATTTTGACCAGTCGTAGTGACAGATGGTTTGATACAAAACGGATTACCATGAAACAACTCAGAAAGAAATAATACAGCAGTATTTTATTTTTTCATTAATTAAGATTTATTCCTGCATATCTTGAAATGAAATCACAAAAAGCTTCATATACGGTAGAAGTTCATTTCCTTGATAGTCAATTTTGCCAGGTTAAGCCACTCTGGTTGATTTCATTGCTATTAGTGGTGGCCTAAGAGACAGCCGGCAATTACTGATTGCACGAATAATTGACCGCGCAAAGTAGTCTAAACTGTCAATTCCGCGAAATTTGCACCAAGCGAAAAAAAGTATGTTTACAGTAGTTTGCTAACTTTCTGTGCTGGTGATTAGGTGTCTCACTCGGAGAGTGTGGTTGTGAATCCCAGAAGGACTCAACCTACCAAAAAGTACTAGAACTTGTACTTTACTGAGAAAGTGTATTCTAAAATGAAACATTTGTTACATTTGACCTCTTTCTAAATGGCATTGAGTATTCATGTACACTGTAAATATCCCAGAAATTTTGAATAGGCCTAAAAAAAAATGTTGTGGTTCCGATTACCCGACCGATCCTTCAATGTTGGTGCCGACCCTATCTTTTTTAGGCGGTATGAATAAAATAAGCTTTCAGATGCCATTGTTTTTTCCCGTCACCGACGGACATCAGTCACTCTTATAGAGAAAGTCAGCATGATGGCCGCAAGCTTGATTGAATAAACAATTACACATTGATAAATGTGTTATTAGTTTGTACTTTACTTCTAAAAAAATGTCCCCAAAAAATCCTACCTACCTACCCTAAATTTCAAAGAGGTGTAATTGGAACCACAACATTTTTTTTATTTGGCCATATGTTACAATGTATATATGGTGTATGTTCATCATTCAGTATCAAAAGAGAAGTGTCCGTCAAGCTCAACTTCAACACCCAGTAAACTCAAGAAGGGCAAGATCAAGCGGAAAATACCTGGAGGCCGTGCAAATCTCCAGGTGAGCAGGATAGATGACAACTTGACAAATGTGATCAAAATATATTATTTCCTCCAATATGAAACTTCTCATAGCATCCTTTGTTGATTCATTATTTAGACAACGAGTGACAGGAATGACAAATTATCTTTCCCGAGTTGTATGTATTATGTAATTCTTGAGCCTTGGCGAGTCACGAGTTGGTTATTGTTTTTATTATCCATGTCAGTTTTTGATCTAGGAAATGCTAAAATGAAAACAGAAGTTTCTCTATAAGGAAACCCACAGTGTGGGGAATCCCCATATCCCTATGTGTGTGATTGGCTGTTTATTTTCTGAAACAGCCAATCAACATTCACGAAAAGGTGTAACCTCCCTAGGGACTTACAGGAAAAATACTACCCTGTGTCCTCCTTCCCATATGTGTAACAGGGGTGGAAATAAGCCATTGCCCGACGTCCGAGTCCAGTGTTGTTTTCTGTCGGCCAAGATATTTAGTGTATCACGCTGTACCGTGTCCAGTTGATCTCCCAATATTAATTATGTTGTATATTTAAAAAATCAACAAGAAAATCGGCTGGTATAGTGGAAAAATGATCAGGGCAAGTGATTTTACATGTGTCCCTGTACCAGAGTACACTAGCAATTTTAAAGTTATTTCCACCCCTGTGTAATAATAACTAAAATCAGTGATAATAACAGGGTTAAAATCCATTTGAAGTATAACAGATAAGAACTTTTTTTTAACCAAATAACATTTTTTTCCCATTTGAATGACAAGGGCACTTAATTTGGAATCTAGTTAAATCTCTGATGTCTGATCAGTCCACCCTTGAAGGTGTAGTTGTAGCTAATAATTTCTGGATCATGGTAATATTTACATTTTCCAGCAACGTTTTGTGCCGGTCAACCCAACAACTCATGCCCACAAGGTGACCACACGGTCCGTTGATGATGGAGTGACACCCTTAGGTGAGATATTGACCAGCTTTCCTTTTTTTCCTGTTTAGTGAATTAAACATAAGTGCCAAGGAAACTTTTGCATAAGAAAATTCTATGAGTAATCATTTTTGTGTATGTAAGGATTGCGAAGACCTGTGTTTAATTTCCTACAATGTATGATGTGTAAACCCATTACTGGTGTCCACTGCTGTAGACATTGCTGATTTACTGCTAAAAGCACTTAAATACATATTCAGCAACTCATTTGTTTCTTGTAGCAGTGGGGCAGCCAAGTGGTTAATGCGTTCTCTCATCACGCCAAAGGTCTTGGTTCAATTCCCCACATGGGTACACTGTGTGAAGCCCATTTCTGGTGTCCCCCTGCCGTGATATTGCTGGAATATTGCTAAAAGCGGCGTTAAACTAAATTCTCTCACTCCTCACTGAACCACTCTGGGTTTTTTAGCGGATCAGTAAATGTTTTGTCAAATGGGACCTCATTTCAGTGGATTTGTTTCTGTTCTTATGTAAAGTATACCACATTTTCTTTGCAAGGATTCATGAGCCGCGACTGCCTGCTGCCTGACATATCGTTGATGCATGGTCGGATGTTGGTGTGTGCGTGGGAGTCCGACCTCCAGGATGTTGCCTCCGTTACTGTCAAATTACTCATCCAAGCAGTGGAGGTAGGGACAGTCTCATCCTATGTCATGTTTATACTTGTGGCCAGACAGTATCACGCTATGTCATGTTTATACTTATGGACAGACAGTATCATCCTATGTCATGTTTATTCTTGTAGACAGACAGTCTCATCCTATGTCATGTTTTTAGAGACAGTATCATCCTATGTCATGTTTATACTTGTAGACAGACAGTATCATCCTATGTCATGTTTATACTTGTAGACAGACAGTATCATCCTATGTCATGTTTATACTTGTAGACAGACAGTATCATCCTATGTCATGTTTATACTTATGGACAGACAGTATCATCAGTATGTCCCATGTCATACTTCTTATAGACAGACAGTATCATCCTATGTCATGTTTATACTTGTAGACAGACAGTATCATCCTATGTCATGTTTATACTTGTAGACAGACAGTATCATCCTATGTCATGTTTATACTTATGGACAGACAGTATCATCCTATGTCATGTTTATACTTGTAGACAGACAGTATCATCCTATGTCATGTTTATACTTATAGACAGACAGTATCATCCTATGTCATGTTTATACTTGTAGACAGACAGTATCATCCCATTATAGACAGACAGTATCATCCTATGTCATGTTTATACTTGTAGACAGACAGTATATCATCCTATGTCATGTCATTTATACTTGTAGACAGACAGTATCATCCCTATGTCATGTTTATACTTGTGGACAGACAGTATCATCCTATGTCATGTTTATCATGTTTCATGTTTATACTTGTAGACAGACAGTATCATCCTATGTCATGTTTATATCCTATGTCATTATAGACAGACAGTATCATCCTATGTCATGTTTATACTCATAGACAGACAGTATCATCCTATGTCATGTTTATACTTGTAGACAGACAGTATCATCCTATGTCATGTTTATACTTGTAGACAGACAGTATCATCCCATTATAGACAGACAGTATCATCCTATGTCATGTTTATACTTGTAGACAGACAGTATCATCCCATTATAGACAGACAGTATCATCCTATGTCATGTTTATACTTATAGACAGACAGTATCATCCTATGTCATGTTTATACTTGTAGACAGACAGTATCATCCCTATGTCATGTTTATACTTGTGGACAGACAGTATCATCCTATGTCATGTTTATACTTGTAGACAGACCCTTTTTGGTTTGTTAGACCCAGATACCAGATTTGTCTGACCTACATGTTAAATAACCATCCTACTGGATAGTTATGATTGCATAAAACAACATGCACTCACTCTTTCTATATTTTGTGGACCTTTTAGGTCAGAACAGACTTCCCAGTCATTTAAAGGGCTGACACACTCACACAAGATTTTCACAATTGACAGATATTGTTCTCAAATTTGCATGGAGTAATTTTACGTTTGCCAACTTTCAGACTCAGCTTAAGAATATCATCTCTCTGGTACTGAAAGCGCGTCGAAAGTGGGTTCAAGCTCACGAGAAAAGAAGTTCGCTATGGCCTGGGTGCTTGAATGCCGAACCGATATTTGCGTCAGACCCAGCTCATGGATCAGAGCGACTACTGAAGGTATTTGAGGTTGACTTATTTCACAGTGAAAAAAATTGCAAGTGATTATGTGATATTTGCTTTGCCAAAACAATTATTTTTAGGTGTATGTTTCCACACACTAAAACAAAATTTTTTAAATTCCAGGCTCAAAATACCCTCTCACTTATATGATACAACTGATGATTTTCTTTCACAGCTATGCCACTGCTATAACTCAGACTGGCCACCACGCTCCCAGCATCAAGTCCTCCTTGGATGTCGGGGAGGAGACGGCCATGCACCATCTGGCCACCTCCCACCAGCCAGCTGAAGATATGGGCCCCATCAGCCTGTATGATCTGCTGGACACACTGAAGGTGAGGTGGAGAATAGGATGGTATGGATGTAGATCAGTAAAACTCTTTGAGGGAGCATGTCCACATACCTTTAGTGGTTAAACCTTTCACTCATCAAGTCGAAGACAGGGGTTCGATTCCTCACATGGGTACAATGTGTGAAGCCCATTTCTGGTGTCCCAGCGCCGCAATTGCTAAAATTGGCGTAAAACTAAACTAAACTCACTCACTCACTCACTCACTCACTCACTTTTAGTTTAAAATTGATATTGCTTTGAATATGAAGTGTGAAAGAATTACATTCATATATTATATGTGGATACTACCTGGTTGGGAGTTAGAGTTAAAGTTAGGTTAATGTTCTGGTAAGGTTTCACACACACATATACACATGTATCACACTGCAAGGGCAATAAACAAAGGCAAAATTAAACACCATTCCACTTCATCTGATTAGGCTTCATTTCAGGAGTTAGGTTTCAGAAATTTCATGTATTTTGATGCATGTTCTCTTTAATGATTTTTACACACTGTGTCCCTTATATTTCAGCTGTATCGCAGCAGCATCCCATCCCATTCGGTATATGCTCCTGCAGTGGAGCGCATCCTGCATCGTCTTTGGCATCCCAGCATAGAGGAGGTTGAGCAGGAGAGCATCCACCAACAGGAGGTCTACCTCAAGCAGCAGCTGGCCAATCAGCAGTTACCTGTCCGATAAACAGCCAATCGGCAGTTACCTATCTGATAAACAGCCAGCCATCAGTTACCTGCCCAATGAACAGCCAATCAGCAGTTACCTATCTGATAAACAGCCAGCCGTTAGTTACCTGCCCAGTGAACAGCCAATCAGCAGTTGCATGTCTGATACACAGACAGCCGTTAGTTACCTGCCCAGTGAACAGCCAATCAGCAGTTGCATGTCTGATACACAGACAGCCGTTAGTTACCTGCCCAGTGAACAGCCAATCAGCAGTTGCATGTCTGATACACAGCCAATCAGCAGTAACATGTCTGATACACAGCCAATGAAAAGTTATTTGATTCAAATCTGGTCTGTCAGTTGCAGTTTTGTGACTTGAAATACTGGACAGCTGTGTTGAAAAGGGTCCTTCTATCAGAGTGCTACAAGAGTAAGTCTTCAAACAGAAATGGAAGGTTTCAAGATACATGAAACTTTAGAGTACTATATGACAGTGCTGTAATTTCAAGCTTGTGAATGAAATGTTTGAGTAGTATCTATCAAAAGTTTTTTTTAATATGGCTGCGATAGTGACCATATTGAAATGGGATTCAACCCTTTTGAACAAAGTACAGTGTCATATATCCTTCTGTGCAAAGGTCGAGGTCTGTACACTGGGGTGGTCCCATTTCTGATTTGCTGAAAATGAGATGCTTCAAAAGAAGTATTGCTTCTGAGGCATAATGTCCAGTATCTGAATATATGGGTCAGCAAAATCCCAGCCACCAGGAAGATGCAGGTATCCTTACTCACTACTTGTTGTCAATCAGGTGTTAGCTGGTTTATCTTGTGATGACTTGTACTGTGTACATAGACATCAATAAATGTATTTTATACTCACATCAGTTTGGATTATTATTTTGTTAGTTATGTTGTTACAAATTCAAGGCACGAATTCAATCTTGGTGCTTCAGCTGTCACAGGTCTTGCCAGAGTATTGGAGTTATGATCAATTTGTGCTACATCTATTGTATGTCCATGTCAGTAGATGAGGGTTGTGATTGTCTTAGTGTTACAATTACACTTCTTTGTGAGAGTATGGGAGTTACGATGATCTTAGTGCTACACTTACACTTCTTTGTGAGAGTATGGGAGTTACGATGATCTTAGTGCTACACTTACACTTCTTTGTGAGAGTATGGGAGTCACGATGATCTTAGTGCTACACTTACACTTCTTTGTGAGAGTATGGGAGTTACGATGATCTTAGTGCTACACTTACACTTCTTTGTGAGAGTATGGGAGTTACGATGATCTTAGTGCTACACTTACACTTCTTTGTGAGAGTATGGGAGTTACGATGATCTTAGTGCTACACTTACACTTTGTGTGAGATCTTTGTGAGAGTATGGGAGTTCACGATGATCTTAGTGCTACACTTACACTTCTTTGTGAGTGTATGGGATTCACGATGATCTTAGTGCTACACTTACACTTCTTTGTGAGAGTATGGGAGTTACGATGATGATCTTAGTGCTATGATGATCTTAGTGCTACTTACACTTCTTTGTGAGAGTATGGGAGTTACGATGATCTTAGTGCTACACTTACACTTCTTTGTGAGAGTATGGGAGTTACGATGATCTTAGTGCTACACTTACACTTCTTTGTGAGAGTATGGGAGTTACGATGATCTTAGTGCTACACTTACACTTCTTTGTGAGAGTATGGGAGTTACGATGATCTTAGTGCTACACTTACACTTCTTTGTGAGAGTATGGGAGTTACGATGATCTTAGTGCTACACTTACACTTCTTTGTGAGAGTATGGGAGTTACGATGATCTTAGTGCTACACTTACACTTCTTTGTGAGAGTATGGGAATTACGATGATCTTAGTGCTACACTTACACTTCTTTGTGAGAGTATGGGAATTACGATGATCTTAGTGCTACACTTACACTTCTTTGTGAGAGTATGGGAGTTACGATGATCTTAGTGCTACACTTACACTTCTTTGTGAGAGTATGGGACTTACACGATGATCTTAGTGCTACACTTACACTTCTTTGTGAGAGTATGGGAGTTACGATGATCTTAGTGCTACACTTACACTTCTTTGTGAGAGTATGGGAGTGCTACACTTACACTTCTTGATCTTGAGTGTATGGGACACGATGATCTTAGTGCTACACTTACACTTTTTGTGAGAGTATGGGATTTAGATGATCTTAGTGCTACAGCTATACACTTCTTTGTGAGAGAATGGGAGTTTCGATGATCTTAGTGCTACACTTACACTTCTTTGTGAGAGTATGGGAGTTACGATGATCTTAGTGTGCTGAGAACATTGCTTCACTTACACTTCTTTGTGAGTGTATAAAATGATCTTAGTGCTACACTTACACTTCTTCTTTGAGACTATGGTAGTACATGATCTTAGTGCACTTACATCTCAGTGCTCTTAGTGCTACTTACAACTCTTTGTGAGAGTATGGGAGTTCTGATGATCTTAGTGCTACACTTACACTTCTTTGTGAGAGAATGGGAGTTCTGATGATCTTAGTGCTACACTTACACTTCTTTGTGAGAGAATGGGAGTTACGATGATCTTAGTGCTACACTTACACTTCTTTGTGAGAGAATGGGAGTTACGATGATCTTAGTGCTACACTTACACTTCTTTGTGAGAGAATGGGAGTTACGATGATCTTAGTGCTACATTTACACTTCTTTGTGAGAAATGGGAGTTCTGATGATCTTAGTGCTACACTTATCTTTCTTTTGAGAGAAGTATAGTTACGGTCATCTTAGTGCTACAGCTATTGTACTTCATTGTGAGAGAATGAAATACATAATCTTAGTACTACAACAATATCATACTTCTTTGTAAGAACATTGGAGTTGCGATCATCTTAGTGCAACACTATGTGACTTACACTTCTTTATTAGAATATGTGTCTTCCGATCATCTTAGTACACCTGCCATACTTCACATGATGTACCGGGGTGGTGGGGTAGCCTAATGGTTAAAGCGTTGGCTCGTCATGCCGAAGGCCCAGGTTCGAATCCCCACATGGGCACAATGTGTGAAGCCAATTTCTGGTGTCCCCCGCCGTGTTGTTGCTGGAATATTGCTAAAAGCAGCATAAAACCAAACAGTCAGTCAGTCACATGATGTACCAATGCTGTACCATGATGTTGATGTCTATAGATGGTGCTCTGGCACCCCTCTGATGCCTTGCCCACAGCCAACTGGTATTCTTCTGCTTCAGATTATCCAGTAGCGTTGTTCCATTGTGATTTATTCAGTTGAAGTAAGGCTTTAATGTCGAACAGTTGCTTTTCAACCGACATCGTTACTGCAACTAGGAATCATCCACTAATATAGTGAGTGAATTGTGTTTTTATCCCCCTTTCAGCAATATTCCAACATCAAGGCAGGGGCACCAGAAATGTTCGTTACATCCACTCATATATGACTATTCACATTTTAACCATGTTTAGAACACATATATACTACCCATCACAAGTTTAGACTCACTTAAAGCACTCACTATATGTTATGTATATGTATGTGGTTACATCGAAGATGAATTTCTCCACCAACTTGGGGGAACCAACTGAAAACCTTATGCAGATGAATTGCACAAGGATGATGCTTCAAATTGCGAAAGGCATGAGCAAATGTCGTGCATGTGAACAGATTCGTTTTGGTGTAAAGTTTTGTTAAGAATTCGCCAATTTTCACAGATTTTAATCATTTACTGAACTCATGACAATAATCTTTTCAATGTTACGAATATGTTTTACAATACACCAGTTCATAACTAAACAGTACCTTTAAACAGTATGGAATATTTTGCAAAAAGCTAGTTTAGAACAGTGGACAAGTAAGTGGCTACATTTACACTAGTGAGTCTAAACTTTTGATGGGTAGTATATGTCATGTTAAAAATAACACATGTCAATAACAAAATGTCCGGTAAGATATAAACAGAAGGCTCAACTGTCAAACATTAATTTGAAAGTCAAATGTTCCTTCTATATCAGATTACCTTCTACTGTACAACGTATAGAAGACAGATACTCAGAAGATAAATACAGATGGTTTCCAGTCAAGACCAGGCAATTCAGTAACAATGGACTGACTGAGTTTGGTTTTACACCGCTTTTAGCAATATTCCAGCAACATCACAGCGGGGGACACCAGAAATGGGCTTCACACATTGTACCCATGTGGGGATTCGAACCCGGGTCTTCGGCGTGACAAGCCAACACTTTAACCACTAGGCTACCCCACCGCCCCTTCAGTAACAAGATGATAGAGGGGCATGCCACTTTATTCAAGATGCACCCAGAGGCTTCTCCATATTCATATGCCCAACCCACTGGGGTTTCTTGGGTATGATATGTCTTCTGTTTTTTATGTATGTTTCAAAGTGCCCACGGGGTAGATATATCGCCATGGTTACTGAGGTGCTTCTGTGCTGGGTCCTTGTTATGTTTCGCCCATGGTGCTGACAGACCAAGAATACAAGCATATCTGGGAATCAGAATCATCTTAGGGCCACAACTCAGGACAACCAAGTAAAAGCAGGCCCAGCCCATTCATTACAGACACGTGAAGATCTGGGATAGAATTTGTCTTCAGCAACCCATGCTTGTCGTAACAAGATCAGGTGGTTAGGCTCGCTGACCTGGTTGACACATGTCACGTATCCCAGTTGTGTAGGTTGATGCTCATGCTGTTGATCACTGGATTGTCAGGTCCAGACTTGATTATTTTCAGACTGCCACCATATAGCTGGAATATTACGAGAGCGGCGTTAAACAACAACCAACCATTCATTACAGAAAGATTGGGGTGTTGGTACAGGGTTGTCAAACATGCAAAAAATAAATCTGCAACAATGTCAAAATTTTCTTTTGGTAAAGCAATTTATTGTTGTAAGACAATTGATGTAAAATAACGAATTCACATAATCAAATTAAATTTGTTGCTTGTTTGGGCCAGTATGTACATTACTGATAAATGTTAACTTAAACTGTCCTCTCATTCGACTGACTATAGCCTCTCCCTCACAGTCTATTTCAACAACATGTGACGTGTACTTCTTCGAAATAAATAAATTCAAAGCTGTTAGAAACCTGAAAAGTCTTTCAAACGCCACATCTACATCCATCAAAGTCTTATTTACATTTAATAATACAGAAACAAACTTCTTGAATGGACTAGATCATAAATGCTTTAAATAGAACCCAAACACTAAGCTTATCTTAGAAACTGCAGTATCCAACAGAAAAAATGTAAACTCAGGAAGGCAAGTCAATCAATTAAAGGCTAAAAGTGCATAAAAATATCAAATAAATTGTACAAAATTACAATAAAATATATTTCAATGGTCTGCAATCAGCATGCGATAACTTTGCACGCACAATGTTGATTGTATTTATGACGGGACTGACAACTTCACATACAACAGATTAGACATCAAATTACCTATAATAAAGGATCTACTGCAAAGAAACACTGATCCATGTCGTCTGTTGCCAAAACAAATCTCTATATCGTATTTGCCATAATAAGTACACATACTCTGATAATAATGGGATGCTTATTAAAACCATGTACACGTTTTTTAGAGATCAAGCAAGTGGATAAACTAAATGTCTGTGAAACTTGTCCATTATCTAGCCCTTCTGCTTTGTGTAAACAATGTGTCATCACAAGAAAGTGTCCAATAGATGTGTTGTTTTTTACTGGGGCCACTTACAGAAACTACTTCCAGACTGATCTAGAAGTAGTTCAAGAGCTTACTGAGCAGAGCGTTTAATATGGCGAATAAGGTAGTTGTGAATCGAGCATACCCACATGTCAGTTGTGTAAATTTAGCTTT